CCCCCCCCCGCCAAGTCTGCTTCTAAACCAGCCAAAATATTTGAAGCAGATGCTAAATTACCAATTGGTATTTTGAAAGACTATGGGACTGGGATTAACATGTTGGCTATATTTCCCAAGAAATAACTTAACTTTTTCCATCTACACTGTAGTTATCAAACAAGGAAAGCGGCAGCATGTCTACAATATCAACTTTAGAACCTACTGTATGTGATTGACCAAAAGAGAGTACTTAATGACCTTGCAACTGACTAACAAAGGGGCATACTGTGTAGTGATCTCCAATTTTAAGAGCTACTGCAAGTATTCAGGAATAGACTTGCATCAGTTCTGCTTTTATTTCCAAATTTTGTTACAATTTGGTTATTTTAGTCAAAACATCTCGGTATAGATGATATACAACTAAACTTGGTCATAGTGAATTCAGTTGCAATAGGCCACTTTCAATATATTAAAATTCAGCTTGATAGCGAGGCCTAGAGGACACAAACAAAAGAAGTGATTTAACGACAGAAACGATTTATTGACAGTTTACTTCTACAGTTGCACTGGCTTGATTTCATTATGAGAAGAGGTATAACATGAGGGCTACCAATGAAACCATGAGCTATGCTTTCATTGCTAATTCACTGTATCCATTGGAGATAATCTTCCAATTACTAACAAAATATCATTGGGAACTAAATATTACAAGTGAAATGAATGGTGAATGTAACAAGGTGATTTTAAAGCCATTACAGTGGATTTCTGATATCAATGCAATTGATTATAGCAATTTTTGAGGAGCAAGACAATTTAAATAGAACATTTCACGATGAAAAATTTACTTATAATGGCATCTGTGGTTTCACCATCATCAGGCTAAGGCTCTTTCGGTTATATCTTGTAATTTTGCCTCCAAAATATGGTGTTTTTTGCTGTTTTAGTGCTAATAGCACTTGCCTGGCAATTCAGTTAAAAGAAACATCCTTGCAACTCAGTGCCATAACAAGGTAAGGTCATCAGTGTGCTCAAGTTTTCAAAGCTATTTTGATTTATATAATTCACGTGTTCATGCATAGCTAGAAGAAATGTCAACATAATGTCAACGGTTGTAAGTGTATGGGTTGAAATAAAACTTTGAATTTCAGATTAGAAATGGCAATCATGCATTCGAAGCCAAAACACCATCTGGGATGTTGGTTTTGAAACGTGATATTAATTCGTTTTTAGTCGCAGGAACTTACTTTACCGTGGATGTTATCAAGTAATTGTCACTTTCAAACAAAGCCTTACTTACTTTCTTAATCTACTGTGGTTGATTAGCCCTCAGCTGCTATGTCTGTTATGGAAATAGTCATAACCGCTAGGTTTTGCTTACGTGTTCTCCGGTTAGATATATCCACGAGGTTTTCCTCGGTTAGGTCAGTTCAAGTGCAGATTTCACTGCGTCAACTTCTACTCGGCATTGGGCCATAGTTTCTCTCTACACTGTTACTCGTCTATTCTATCAAGTCAAGTTCAGTGCGTGTGCAAACCAAATTCGAATCGGCATACGGTTTACGTCATTCGACTTACGGCTAAGCTTACGGCACGAGGTTTAATTCTACCTTCGTCTTGGCACGTGATTCGTTTCAATTGAGTTTGTATGGAATATTGATCTCTGTCAATTAAACTGTGTTTACATCGTAGTCAGAAGTTCTTGTCGAGTTCGTTTTAACACTACGCACTGCTCTACGCATGTGATTACTTGGAGTTTTGGCCCGCTATATTCTGTCTTTGTAATTCACATGGGATGAGTACTGCCTTGCTAAGTTCTAGAACCGTAAATCTTGAGGAGCTTTCCACCAAATTAAACAACTGAAATCCATTTTGGTTTGCAACGTTTCCAAACATGCAAATGCCCGCAAAAAGGGAATTAATTCCACCTTAAGNGTTTGAATCAGTGTCGCATTTCTGTTGGATGATGTGACAAAACCAGTTGAACGTGTCGTAGAAGTGCTGCAGCCGATTCAGACGTCAAATTTCTGTCAAATTTAAGTTGTTGAATTGAATTCAACACCGCAGAAATACTACATATTGTGCATCTACTTTATAATGCCTTTTAACTTGTTCATCCTAAAATAAAGTGACACAATTTTATAATTAAATGTAGGACGGTAACAACTTTTTCACCCTGACTTGAATCTTCCCATTTTCAAATCATTTCCTGCCAGAATTTTCATACCACCAAAATCCTGTAAAAATGCAGCCCCATTCTAGTAACTATATTGAAAATGCAACCCCATTATAGTCAATCCTGTCGTGACAATGGGACCCATGTCCACATTAGCCTAATACTAAGAAGTACATGTAACCCTGCTCCAGGTGCAAATCAAAGTTTTACTTCAGGCCTGGCTAGGGGAGATAGAGATGGAGATGGAGGGATACCAATTTTTGTGTAGATACTTTATACCCGAATTGTGACAAAAACTATCACATACCTGAATATTATTTTACAGCTTCAGATACCAGATACCCAAAACCCCTGGTAGTGTCTGATACAATACAATTTAAGGATATCACTTAATTGCAGAGAAAGTTAGCTCAACCTTTTTGCAATGTTTTCACTTATGGCTGCAGCAGACAACCTGCAATACTTCACTGTAAGACCCTCTGTCAGCAATCTTGATCTTTCTGGACGATTGAGCTACAAGCCAAATTATAGTGACAATTTTTCACATGACCATTTTTTCTCAGTGCTCTGATTCAGGATTGGGGGGCAAGCACATGTCATGTATATTTAGGGTAATACCATGACTAAATAAACTAAATCTGTATGATTTGTGATAATTATTGTTTATTTGTGTTTCAGACTCTGGTCCTGGTCCTGGAAATAATGTTAGTCTACTTGGTAAGGACAATATTATTAGCATGTACTGTATTAATTTCATTTTCAGAATAAAGCACTGATCAGAAGAAATATACATTCAGAGGTATGGTGGTCATACAATCAGCACATTGGACTTCACATCAAGTGATCAGAGCCTTGGCTGGGGTTATTTGTTGTGTTCTTGGATGAGACCCTCTGCTCTCACAGTGCCCCTCTCCACACAGGAGAGAGACATCCTATCCAGGAGGGGGGAGGGGGGATCCTCCTAGCTACCAATGTGTGATGCTATATAGAAACTGGAATAGCCTTTGGTAAGATGGGTTGCTTGGCCTGATGGATATGTTGGGGTTACACTATATATGCTTCTGATGATAATCAAATGAATATAAAACAGAAGAAAATATAAATTGTATTGAGGGTAAAAATCACCTACAACACATTCTTTGCCTTTTATAAATAATGAACCATTTCATTTTTATTCACAGATATGAGTGCCTGCAGCACATCAAGTCGCAATGACAGCAAATGCGGTGACTTTGTAAGTGTAAACTCGATAACTTGTCATAAGGTTTATCACTGTAAAAAAATTCACCTCTATAAGAGAGATAAATAATTAAAGTTTCCTTTTCTCATCTGAATTGTAGCAATTCACCACTCCTCTTCCATTTCGAAAGACAAGAAATATTTCATCATCAACTCCTGATATGAAAGGAAGTACCAGTAAGATTAACCCTGATGTGGAAAATGAGGTAAGCAAATTTTGATTTTTCAGAGATAAAACAGCACTAACTGCTTAATTTTGAAAAGTTATGTTCCTATGTCTTGACTTAATAAGAATCCAGACCAGTTTAGGTTGACTTTTGTTTACTGACTATACTAGGTGTCAAGGCTCTTGGCAGAGAGAGCAGAACTTGAGAACAGACTGTGCCTGACACAGCAGGAACTCAATGACATGGAAAACAAATTCCAGGTATGCACGTCAATTCCTACCAATATTTTATTGGATATGCTAAACCTTTTGATGTAGCTTTTGGCTTCTAGGGCTACATGTAATTCAAAGTACTGTTTAGGCTCAAAATGTTTTGTGTTTTCTGTTGCCTTAGCCTGACATCAGGAATGCAATGCCAACTGATAAATAGAATGATATAAAATTTTTGCCATAGTGATGGAACAGTCACCATGTGGGAGTGTTTTCTAACTTTTAGTTTATAGGTTGAAAACTGTAGATATAATAATACAAAATGCTTACTATTAACTAATTGCTTTCATCCTTTTTAAATTTTACTCTTCCTTCTATGTTACAGTATCACATAGAGCTGTGCAGTACAAAGTTGAACACTTGTGCAACGGACAGCTGTATTTTTCAGTAGTACTTGTTACTTGAGTTAAAGTGTCTGTACAACCAACAGGGTTTTTTGCTGTTTTGGTATCTCTATAATGTGTAAAACGGTATTCTAAGAAAAAAATCGGATTCCGACATTTTAACGCCCAAAGATCTAACCTTAAAGTTTCCGCTGCAGCCACGCCCAATGAAGTTGACCGTGAGTCACGTGCAAAAAAAAGAGTCTGGGTTTCTGAATGGGTCATGACGTCAAGTCAGGAATTGTCAAATCCTGCTAGTTCAGGTCACTGTTGTTTCAGTAGTGGTTAGGAGTTTCGGCGATAAAAAGCAAACAAACTGAAGTTGGTGAAACAATGCAGTTGTCAATTAAGCAAAATAAAACGTGAAGCTTTGAGATGTTCCTGAAATGATGCCATTCATCATCAATCTTTCATTACGCGGTCAACTTCATTGGGCGTGGTTGAAGCAGGAAATTTAAAGCTTGATTTCATGGCAAAAAAGCACCAGAATTAATTTTTTTTGGTTTGAATACATTTTAGATGTTATAGAGATACCAAAACCACAAAAACCCTGTTGGCCATATAGACACTTTAATACAGTGTAGTGTCAGCATCACTGAGATTGTTTTGAAATGTTTTAATTTATCCATATTTATTTTGCCCTCTTAAAAGTCATTGTTACAAGAAAAAGTAAGCCACGAATCTTCCATCACTGATCTTCAAAAAGAAATCCAAGGCTTGAAACAAGAAAATGGTCTGCTAATGGACAAAGTACAAGTTAGTGCACTTAAGTTTCTAACTCCACTTAGTATATAAGATCTACTAGCATTCTATCATGAATGCCGTTCTCTGATTTGCCACATTACTCAACATCTATTCTGTTTTAGTATAAATCTACTAGCATTCTATCACAAATGCTGTTCTCTGATTGGCTATGCTACTCACTATCTATTCTGTGATAGATAGTGAGTAGCGTAGCAGTGTGCACTTGTTAACGAAATGACAGCTGCTTCTTGGCATTTTCGAATTGTCTGTGAAGAGGATTTAGATAAAGTTTTGAATGACTAGTAGCTTTATACTAAAACAATTATTAGATTATTCACTCTCAATTTCTATGCATAATAGTTGACTCGGGCTGCGCCCTCGTCAACAATCACGCGATAGAAATCTCGAGCTCATAATCTAATTGTTTAGTAGATACATACATAACATTTAGATACTGAGTAGCACAGCAGCGTGCACTTGTTAACTAACTGGCAGCCACTTCTTCACTTTTTCAAAGTGTCTGAGAAGAGGATTTACATGTTAGAGAAAGTTTTTAACGACTAGTAGATTTATACTAAAACGATTAGATTATGAGCTTGAGATTTCTATCATGTGATAGTTGGTGAGGGCGCATATCATGCAATAGAAATCTCAAGCTCATAATCTAATTGTTTAATAGTAATGTTACATGATATTTTTGTCAGAATTATGCATTTATTTATGTATTACAGTACTTAATATGTGTTTGTTATTTTTACTAATTTGCTGAATATTTAACTATGATTTCCACTTAAATGATCAGCTTCTAGTTATATTTATTTACAAAATAATCTTAATCACATTACAGATAAATGCAACAACCAATGATAAACTTGAAACACTAGAAGGGGAGCTCAAAACAGTCAAAGTGCTGCTGCAAGAAAAGGAAGGGGTGAGTTACATGTACACTGGAACTATTCAGCCAGTCATTCAAATCTCTCCAGTCAAAGACGACTGTCTTGTTTTTATGTAGTAACTGAACTGGGAACATTACAATAAGCTTTGTTCTAAAATATTAACATTAGTCACTACATATTAGCTATACCTTGCCTTACGCTAAGGAGGACTATTTAATAGGAAGTCTTGGGTTTAAGTTTGGTATGATCTTTTCTACACCTCCCACCCCTTGTCTTTCTCCTTCTCTGCAGAAAATTCAAACATTTGGATGTTCATGCTCACCCCTAAATCTGCCTAAGGTCGCTAAATTCTTTTGGCAGGACCTTGATTGATTTGACCATTCAGCACTGAAATTTTATGTACAGTGTGTCAGTACAGGTCATTCTTGTTGTTTCTAAATAGATACTGTACATGTACTTTAAATGCAGCTGTATGGCAAGCCGTTTGTAGCAAAACCGTGAAAACAACTGTCTCTGTTAGCAAACCTCTGTAACTCTTACCTGTGTCTGTGTGGGCCTTTGCTAGTCAACAAGATTGCAAGTTATTTGGCAACCCAATAAAATGGAAAATTTGTCTTGACTTGTGACTGTTTGGTGATAAAATACAACAAGCAATAATGAAAGGTGTTTTTTCTTACTTACAACCTTCACAATCAGCTTTACTTTCTAATCATTTTATCGATGTATAATACACAATTAGTTTCTTTTCAAACTACAGATAATCTCTAGTCTTAATTTTGAACTGAGCTGCGCTGCTGAAAATTCAAGAGCTGATCTTGAGATGGAACAGGAGAGAAACAAGGCTCTTAGTGAAAGAATATCTTACCTAGGTTTGTAAATAAACAAATTAACATAATTAACAAATAGTCTTATAAATAAAATACCTTTATCAAACTAATGGATACATGATAGATGTAAAGTTACTAAAAATGTGATTTTGAACTGTACAGTGCAGTCTGATTACATGTTTGTAATACCTGGAAGTGTATACTTAGAAATGTCTGTTCTTTGGTAGGATTTTTTTGTTACCTCAATTTGCACCTTCATATAGCTTTTAGTCTAGAGAACCACACTCTTAGCTCCTGATAGCTGTTGATATGTCTACTGGTGGCCCCTTATTTGATCAATATGCTCATTGTTGTAAATATTCACTGTGTTGCTATATTTTTCTTGTTAAAGAGATCCGTCTCATTTTGAGTGTTCTTTGGCGATATTTCAACTTGTGATGTTTTGCAAAATTTGTGATTCATCTCTGTCTGTTTGTTTACAGAAAGAACAGTTTCAGAAGTGACAAGTAACAGAGATGAAGTGGAAGAAGCAAACCAAACTCTTCATGGTAATTTTTAAGTTGGAGGTTTATTATTTCAAACTCTGGTTTTAGTAAGTGGTAGAACTGTATTTCTGACATGATCTCACTTTTCTGTAATTGACAAATATAATTATTGCAACATTTCAGAGTTGGTGGCACAACTGAGAAGAGAGAACATTGAGTTGAGAACAAAACTTGACAAGACAGAAGAAACATTAGAGGTATGTCATGTATTAATAGTGCAACAACATCTGACTCTTTAACATTACATAATTGGGTTATTAACCAAGCTTGAGATCAAGAGATGGCTGTATATTGGCCAAGTTCTTTTTTCGCAAGTTTATGGACCGAGATGGAGTCGAGGTCCATAAACACGGAAAAAAAGAATGAGGCCAATATTCAACCATCTTGACTGAACAAGCTTGGCCAATAAAAGATTTACGATATAGACTTTGATGAAACTGCCTCAGCTTAGGAGAAAATTTTTCTTATGGGGCATGGCACTCAATCCCAAGCGGGCAAGATAGCACATCTTATATGCTCAGATAGCTAATCACAGGGCAGGATTTGATTCACCTTGCCTGCTCATGGAGCTAGCCATGTAATAAATGATATTGTTTGGGTTCATTGATCACTGTTTTTCTCTCACAAGAGTTCTAAAATTAAAACTGAAGAACAAAATCCAGCCTTTATTTTGTAGCAAACAAATGACACCACAGGAAAGTAAACTTCTCAATAGCTTTTACATGTAATTTAACAGTTGAAGGGAAAAGACCCTAACTGGCATCTGATAGACTGCAAGATTCTCCTAGCAAATTGCTTTTCACTTTCTTCCATGAAAAAAGGAGAATTTGACATGAGATCAAGAGTCAATTAGGGCTTTTTTTTCCACTCACTCCTTCAATTACCCCTTATGATTTTATCTGTCAATTTACAGACACGTGCTCAATGTCTTTGGCATCTTCAATAGGTTTCATTGACAAATTCAAAATAACAGTTATCTGACCTCTTGCATCACAAATAGTACCACGTGGAATTATTTCTCAATAGCTTTCATTTGAATGATTGCACATTAGGATTTCAACCAAAAAAAAGAGCCACATGTAACCTACTAAAATAATTGTGTTTAATTGTTATTATAGATTATCCGTAACAAACTGGCGACAACTGTTAATGAAGGCCAGAGCAAGATAGGTGCTCTGGAAGAAATGTTGAGCAAAGAGATGCTGGTAAACTTGTTTGAATAATTTTGATAATGACAAGGCCTCTAAATTTCATGGGCAATTTGAGGCACTCATTTTATTGGGAAGAGTGAAAAGCAGCCTTAACAAATTAACCACAGTTTTCCCTAATCTAAACTCTTGTACGTCCAAGAATGTTCCTAATTCATATGGAACCACAAGTGGAAGAAATGGTTTCACTGAAAATTTTGGAAATTTTACAATGTCATTTCTACGGTCTATAAAGCACAGAGAAACATTCATGGTTAGGTTTTGAGAGTCTTTTGTTCCTTTTGTTTAAGAAAAGTAAAGAGTTTGGAGAAAAACTGGAGTTTTCCCTTAAGCAGAGCGGGGAAAATTTTAGCAAAGCCCAGTCTAGAATTGCTCAGCTTCAAGAGACAAATGGAAGGTTGGAAAGCAGGAATCAGGAGTTAGAGGCAAAGCTGTTTGAGATAATTGAGAAAGAACAATCTGCAGAAGAAAGAGCAAGGTGAACTAAATTATTATTATTATTATTATTATTATTGTTATTATTTAAATTAATTTCATCAATCATGTTAATATATGCATTAATTAAAAGTACATGTCTTCAGGTGTGAAGTCGAAATACAGTATGTTACTAAATGTAAATTATACCCTGTGATTTCATTTTAGCTGTTTGTCAGTGGAGAAATTTTCTCTTGAGAGCAGACTTCAAAAGTGTGAAAGTGACTATGAACAGCGCCTTTCTATCGCAAATGACCAGGTGGAATCACTTCAAAAAGAACTTCAAAAGTATAAACTAAAACTTTACTCATTTATGATCTGAATTTTATTGATAATGTGCAGTTCCAGAAAATGTGCATACTCTCGTCACAGAAGGGATTGCAATTTCCTGGGGGGTGGTGGGTTCTGTAAGAACAAAACATTTAAAGAAAATCATCAACTGAAGCTTAATTGGAATTTCCAGTGGGGTGGAAGGTCTTGGAAAAATCCCTTCCGTGGGGGAGGTTACCTGAGTAGTTAATGTGTGAAAAGGTCAGGGATGCTTATCGGAAAATTTGAATTAAACCCCTGAAGGAGAACAATCTGGGTGTGGCTCAGGCTTTATTTGACCCCTAAAAGATGCCACTTTTAAATGGACATGACAGCTTTTGTTTATTTTTTCTACAAGTGTAACTCTACAAGATACCTTGACAGCTAAAAATGAAGCTAAAGATTGTGACGTTTCGTCCAGAACACCATGAGAGAGACTTAAGTCTATGATTTGCACCCCTAAGCAAGACGAAGAGCATCCCTGACACATGAAAGTCCCTCGAGCGGGGGAGGTGGGGGACTGTCATGTCTGGGGCAGGAGTGGCCTTAGCCTCAGCAACATCGGTTTTATAGGATGTAATTTGTCCATCGCTGGAAAAAGCGCAAGAAAATCACCTGTTGTCCTTTGATTACACGCTTTTTCTTCAATGTAGGTGTGAAGAGATGATGACCGATAATCTGAGATCACTCACAGGCAAATACCAAGACCTGGAAGAATCCTACTGTGAGTGATACGTACATATCACAATACCTTGAGAACAACTTCACCCATCGCCATACTACTTTACAAACTTGAGGGAAGCCGCGAAATAAAGCTTTCTAAGGCAAAATATCGCTGAAAAGTAGAGAAGTACAAAGGATGTTTACAAATGAGGAAGATTAAGTCATCAAAAAAAGACAAACTTTAGAAAAAGTATCCATGTTTTAAGATGCGCCATGCGTAGCTAATTTATACATGTAGCTCCTAATATATATACATATGTATCCTACGATAAGTTAATGAAGTTTTCAGAAATTGCTAATCTAATGCGTTTTGGTGTTCATTATTTAGTTCAAGCCTCTTCTTCCAATAATCTTGTTTCTTTTCCTTATCTTAGCTTGCTTTCAATCTGAGGCTGAAAAAGAGAAGAATCTGATTTTAGCTGAGCTAGAAGTCACTAGACAATCTCTCCAGAAAAGGTAAAGCATAGCCTTTCTTGTATGAGCGAATTTTATATTTTATGTTTTATTATAAATCCGAGAGCAAAATTTAAAATCAGAAAGCAAGAATGGCGTAGCGCCATCAGTATCTGCCTGACAGGCATATGGGTAGAATAACTATGGTTTATAAGATATGGAGAGGGAGGTCAAAATGTACCTGTATTACAGGCATCCCAAGCTCACTTCGTGAGCGTTGTTCACTTGTTCTACAATACTGCAGAACAACTGAAGTCGTATTTAGAAATGCGTTAATTAAGAAATATTTCCAAACAAAAACGCCTCCCCTTGAGCTTACTTCCTTCTTTCATTACT